GGGGGGGGGGAGGCTCCTCCACTGGTCCCACCTGACCACGTGAGAGAGGTCTAGACCCGCTGCAAAACCCTTTACAGCGCCCTAGCTTCCTGACCAACTGGGGAAAAGGCCAAACACCCTGAGGACTATTCTACTTGGTGCCCGTCGCTTCTGAAGGGATTTCTGCACACTCCAAAACCACTCCAGGTCACTTTGAATGAGGGAGATGAATTAGAGTTTGGTTTTGTTTTTTAAAACCTCTGCCTTACCCGCGCTAGAAGTGTAAAGCCTGCATCAGTCAAATGGGAACACCGGGCAGCCTCCAAAATTCTGGGATAAGAAAGTAGCAACTGGTCAGCAACAGAAACACTCTATGGCACACACTCAGGTTCATTCTCCCTGACACACTGTTGGTGGGCAGTTTGGCACTACCCCCTATATCCCGAAATGAACTGGATGCCACACTGACCCACCCGACATCACCACAACCACTGCCCCTCCGCCAGCATCTATTCCACCCGCTGGCAAGCCGTTCCCCTCCTAAAGGGCGCCCTCCTGGTCAGCCCCCCACGCTGAGCTGCAAAGCAGAAGGCATGCCCACTCACTGAAGTCTCGGGCAGTTCAAAGCCAGCGCTGTGAGAGAGGCGTCCGTGAGGTTGCTGCAGCCGGAGAGGCAGAGGGCCTGCAGCCGGTGGCAGCCCCTGCAGATCTGCACCACGCCTTCGTCTGTAATGCGCTGGGAAGGAAAGCAGGAGGGAACGTCAGAGGCACAGGAAACACACGGGAGCAGCAGAAACCTGGGACCTGCTGCTGGCCCACTAGTTCAGGTGGCCAGTTACCAGCACTGTAGCCTAGTAATTTAAACAAAATACAGTGATGTGCACGGTAGACGTGTGTATATGTTATTTCTGCACAGCTTTAAAAATATTCTAGCATTACTGACGAGAGCAATATTTTAAAACTCCACTTCCCTTCCCAGATTCATTGGATTTTCAGGAAAAATTCATACACTTGTATGAAAAATCAGATTAAATAAAAGAGTTCATGAGACTTGGCTAAGTGACAATTTTTGGTTGAATTTCTATAGATTAATGCTTTAGTTATCTACCACTTAAGTCCTATGTGTCTATAGTATTTCTTCAAATGTTTAGAAAATAGAAAAATTAATTATTGATAAATGAACATTCAAAATAATAACTTTATTTAAATATATTAATTTATGTGGAAATAAACACGCACATTTATGTTATACTTCAAGTCACAGCCAGAGCTAGCCTACAAGGTCCGACTCTGAACAGTGCAGGCCCACAAGTCAATATACATCCCTAAGCTAGTTTCTCCTTTATCTCCCACTACCAAGGACTCTAAAGGTTTATGGCTCATTCACTAAATGCCAAATGCAAGGGATTTCTCCTCATTTTCTCAAGATCGATGCTTGCCTGACAAACCCAGTAGCTGTAGAAAGCACCCACTTCAGTTATCAATATCCACAGTGACAGTGGAGAAGGGACCGTGGTCACGGGCAGTGCAGAAGGGGCAAGAGCTTGTCACAAGCTAATGCTGACGGAAATTACACCTTGCTCTTGCATATGCTCTGTGTCTTTAAAGCATTTTCATATCTGCTATTCCTTTTTATCTACTGAGACAACATGAGAAGTGTCATCATCCCAAGTTTACAAGTTAAAAAAAGATCCTGAGACCTTACCGGGAATTGTTCGGGTTAGTGACAGCCTTCCTAATATCTTAAAATAATCAGCCGCCCCACCCATATCATTTGTAGGGGAAATGTCAGTGGCTTTGTATCAGCCTTCCTGATTGTTTAGATTGTTGTTTCACCTTGTGGCAAATGGACAGATCACAGAAGGACACAGGATAAGGCGATCATCCTGCCTGCCTGGGGTGTGCCAGGGGTGCCACAGCAGGTGCCTGAGGGAGCACAAAGCAGGAGATGTGCATGGGAAAGGCACGTTACTTACTGAGCATGACTGTAGGTTGAGGCTCACGAGCTCATGGCAGTAACTCTGAATGTGTTTTAGAGCTTCGTCTTCTAACTGAGTGGACAGAGAAAACAAAACGGATGGAGCCAGGTTAGAGAACAGCAGGGCACCAAGGAAAATGCAACAGCAAGACCCCGAATGAAGTGCCCACACCTAACTTTAGATAAAGGTAGAGAAACAAGCTGCCTCCACCCCTAGGTACCTGTGTGCAGCCCCTCAGGAGCAGGGCCTTCAGGCCTCGGCAGCCTCGCACCAGTGCCTCAATGCCATCCTTCGTGATCTGATCGCACCAAGAGAGGTTCAGGTACTCCAGGTTCCGGCAGCCCTCGCTGACAGAACAAGAAACAAAACTGCGCATGTGCAGTCTATCCCGTAGCAAATGTATTACCAACCTCGAGGTTAGTAGATCACAAGCAATGCAGGGGGGAGAGAACCTCTGTGACCGTTAGGTTTCAGACAACAAAGTGTTCATAGCTTTGGGTATTTCTCTTGACCACACACAACAGGTCCTCTTACCTGATCCCCTTTAAGGAGCTGTTGGTAATGGACACACAGGAGGTCAGATCCAGATGTTTCAGCTTGGAACAGAATCTGCTAAGACTGTAACATGTGCTGAAAAAGAGCAGAGGCACTAAAGATATTTTCAACCATGTTTCTCTCCTCTGTGTCTCCCCATAGCCAATTAGTCATCAAACTAATTTTCATTACTTACCTGTCAGTGATTTTTGTGCACCCATTGAGGTTTAAATGTTCAATGTTTCGGCAGTTTTGTGCAAAGGTCCTAAAATGAGAAAACATTTAAAAACTCCTTGCAATTTGCTTGGCAGCCACTAGAGGGCATGTGTGACCACTCACATTTTGAACAGTGCTCCTCAAACTTGAAATTTTATTGGGCAAAGTACACTTAACATGAGATCTATTCCCTTAAAATTTTATGTGTACAATATATTATTGTTAACTGTAAGTACTAGTGCTCCTCAAACTTTAATGTGCACATGAAAAAGCTGGGCTTCTTGTCCCAGGACAGGTTCTGAGGGTAGATCTAGGCAAATTCTTGAGTCTGTACTTCCAAGTTCTCAGGTGATGCCAGTGCCACTGCTCTGGAGACTGCACTTTGAAGAGCAAAGCTCTAGACCAGCGATTTTCAATCTTTTTCACCTCATGACACACAAAACTAATTACTAAAATTCTGCGGCACACCAAAAAATATACTTTTTGCTGGCCTAACCAAGAAAATAGGTGTAATTCTGATTCATTCACACTGGACGGCTATTGCTGCACTGCTGTTATCATTTTTTTATTTGACTAACTATGCAAATGACCACAGAGAATTTAACAGAAGAAAAGCATGTGATATGCCTGGCTTATTTTTGCTGATGAAAACGTCAGCCACAGCGTGCGGGCACAGGGGGAGTCCCTGTGACTGGACTCACTTCAGGGAGGCGTCCCCAACCCCAATGCAGCCGCGCAGGCTGAGCTTCCGCAGGAACCCGCCGCATCGCTTCGAGATGTTCTCCACCACTCGGCCCTGGAACCAAGATGGGCAAAAAATTGTGCTTTTTTCATGCTGCTTAGTTAACAGGACAATCACCTGAAATTTAGGAAGTCTAGAAACTGGACTTTAATGTTAAAGTTGTTTTAAAGTAAACTTTTCCCATTTGGTCAGATTTACCACTCTTAAGTGGAGATATACATATTTCCAGATAAATATCCCAGAATCCTGGAATTATAAAAGGCTTTAAAGGTTATTTTATAGGTAATAAAACCGAGGGGCACTGAGAGGTTACATGGCTCTAATGGCTGAGTTAGAGCGACACCTCAGTGACATCTGCAGCCTCACTCCTGGGCCTGTGCTCCTGCCCTTTCTCCATTCCTGAGGGTGAATTAGAATCCTCAGTGGGTCTGAAAAGATCAGCAAATATTTTCCTATAGTCTCCTAATATTAAAGCAGTGAAGTAGGTGTTAATGAGGCAGGTGGGAGGCTTTAAGAAGCTGAGTGGTAAAACTCAGATTATAAATACGAACAAGGGAGGAAAGTAATGTGTTACTGATACAGAGCAAAGCAAAACACAAGCAGAATTCTGGTCTTGGTGCACGGAGATACCTTCCAGGTTTCCTCTCTATTCCACCTTTTGCCACCTTAATATTAAATCTAAATGCAACACAATAAAGGCAGGAAAGAGGGAGCAGTTCACTTATCTTTTCAAAGTCTTTGTCTAAAACACGGTTAACTTACCTCTACATCTGTCTGAAAGTTAAAAAGGTCTACTCTTTGCCAGTTGCTTCCATCCAGGGCTAAGATGTTCCAAGCCTGGGAGGCAGGAATAAAGGAGAAGGGATTGGAGTGGAAAAGATACATTTATTGAGACCATTAAAGAAAGTCTTGATTCAACCTTCGAATTTCCAAACTTGTATTCTTGATATACATTAAGTTGATCATCAAATATGGAATTATGACAACACTGTGTTATGTTAAATATAGAAGATGATTTTTAATTTTTAACTGTTTACTTGAACTGAAACCCAACCTCATTCTAATAAAGCTTCAGAGTTACTGATTAAAAATCTGGTTAATACCCTACCTTGGAAATCTGTGCACATCGGCACAAAGTTACTATATCCAAGAAGGAAAATATTCTAGAAAGAAAGGGAAAAAAACACAAAAAATGAGATGGTGTTAACGTGTCAGGACATCTGTAACTTGAAAGATACACTCTAACGCGCCATCTGGATAGATCATAAGGTTTTTTCAAGATTCTTCAATTTGCAACACACAAGTGTGCTATAATTTTACATACTACTGTGAAATATTCATGTTCCCAAGCTGTTTCAGACACACTATACAAATGCATGGAACTCGTGAAACTTTTATATCCCAAGGTCTAGGCATGGACATGAGACAGATGAGAACTTGTTCTATTCGAACACCAGCTCTGACCTCCCAGGAACTGAGCCTGGCGGGAGCGAAACCCTTCTCATTCTGATGCGCCGACACAGCGCACTGTGTAGAAGATGCACTAAACGGGCTCCGATGCCTGAGCCTCAAACAGTGTGGCCAAGAAAAGCTCCATGATATAACCTGCTTGGGCAGAAAGAGAGAACTCGAGGTCTCTAACTGACCAGTTATCTGTGAGTAAAGGCCAAGAAGCCACCGAAGACGGGAAAGATGGGGGAAAGAAAGGCAGAGAGAAGCAAACAGAAACTCAGTTAACAGCAGCAATGCCCCTGGAGGAAGCAGGAGCTGTCCCGGCAGGGGTCTCAGTCACGTCCTGACAGCCTGGCTGGGGAGGAGAGGAGATGCTGAGGACAGCGCAGTGGCAGATGGCTGTGTGTGCCTCAGTCCCGGGCGGTGGCGGGGAAAACAAACAAGTTTTCTAGGAGAAGATAGGTGGATGGGATGAGGTCAGGGACACTAACAGGATCTCAAGTCTCTAGTCCTGAAGGTAAATATGAGAGTCTGTGCCTCTGTGTGGAAAGGGGAGAAGGCAAAGAGACACCTATAAGTTCTTCAAACTTGTTCAGAGGTAATAATCAGTGGTGAGTGGAAAACTCTCAGGCTCGAGGAATAGTAATAAAGCAGCAGATGGCTGTACCTATGACGATGCACCCACAAGCAGCACCACAGGCGAGTGTCGGCATAAATACCATCCTACAGGATAGGCTCCAGTCATTTTCTAGTAAATAGCAAAGGACAGACGCATAAGGGCTGCACTGACCTTAACAGACTCAATGAAACTTTGTACACAGGAAAATGCCAGTGGCTGAAAATGTGTCCTTAAGTGTGTGTGTGTATGTGTGTGTGTGTGTGTGTGTGTAAACATATTTCAGGGTGTCCCCACACCTACACTGCCTCTGTGGGAAAGCATCTTGCCCCACAAGCCCTCCTGCCTCAAATGTCCTTGTTCTGTGCCATGTGACCATCCACAATGAGCCACAACTGACTGTCAGCTCCCTAAGAGACCAGGACCAGACAGAGAAACAAGCACGGTACAGCAGAACCATAGTTCATGTTGGGGCTGGGTCCTCAAGTACCAGCTGAAGGTGAAAAAGGAGTCGGTAAGTCCTCCTTGAAAATCCCGTATGAATGTACCTCCTTGGAGGCCACGTACTCCATCATCTCTTGGTAGTATAACAATAAAAACAGCACTGATTCTGCACTTCCTGTGCGCTAGCCACAGTGGGTGTTAGCCATTCAACTGTCACAGCGATGCGATGAGGTGCTACTACTGTCTGTTTCACAGGTAAGGACGCGAGCACAGTGAGGTCCAGTGACCTGCCCAGGCCACACAGACAGGAAGAGTGGAGCTGCTGTGTGGACCCGGGCAGTCTGGCTGGAGAGCCCGAGCCCATGACCACTCTGCAAACTGCCTTAAAGTTTAACGCAGCTGTTTTCCCTCAGGAGTGGACCAGATGCTGTTTCTTCAGCTGAACAGCAGATGAAGTAGTCTGTTTAGTGAGCACGCTATATGGAAAACACGCAGCTTTAAACGCTGAAATCACAGGAACTGAAGCAAGGTGCTCCCACATTCAGACACATGAGAACCAACAGCTGGAACACAAGCTCGCTCCTCATGTCATCCTATGGTTACTGAATGAAAAGCAGGTTGGCTTTAGTATTTACATTATTTTCCCTCTTCCCAAAGCCCCCATGCCTCTATGTGGTTGAATGTGCACAAGTTCCTAGGCATGATAGGACTCCAAACTGCAGCCTAAGCCAAATTCCTGAATCACGTTTCAGTAAGTAAAATAAATGCCGAGTGACAGAGCCTGGGACATGGCAATAAAAAGAGATAGATAAAGGAGTTAGAATCGTGGGATACTGACTCAAAACATTTCTTTCTGGAAATTACTTCCTACCTCAAATGTGGTAACTTTACCCTTAATTAGAAAAGCATTGCAGGCCCTGGCCAGGTAGCTCAGTTTGTTAGAGCATCGTCCATATTCGCCAGGGTTGTGGGTTCAATCTCCAGTCAGGGTCTATACAAGAATCAACCAATGATGCATAAGTGAGTGGAACAACAAATGGATATTTCTCTCTCTCCCTTTCTCTCTCTAAAATCAATGAATCAATCAATTTTTTTATTTGTTGTCTACCTCAGTCTCCATAAAACCATTTTAATTATGCAGATTTATAGTAAGTCTTGATGTCTGGTAATGTAAGTCCTTCAACTTTGTTCTTATACATGAAGATCACTGTGGTTATTCCTGGCTATTCTTGGTTCTTTGAATTTCCACTTATGTTTTAGAATCAGCACATCAATTTCTACAAGAAAACTTGATGTAATTTTTCATGGGAATTCACTGAGTTTATAGGAACTTGGGGAGAATTCGGATCTTTACAATATTAAGTCTTCCAATCCAGAAATGTACCAATAACTACAAGAAAGGAAATCTACAGACCAGTCTCTCTTGGGAACATAATGCAGAAGTTTTATACAAATCCAGTGATATATAAAAAGATTTAACATATCATGGTCAAGTCAAACATTGATTTAACATTTTAAATCAATGTAATTCACATTAATAGAAGGTATAAAACTTTGTGCTATCTCAAAAGATGAACTGTGAGGCAATTATAAGAGATGTAACACACATATAATGGCAATACCAGAAGAAATGTTTGAGGCAATAATGGCTGAGAAGTTTTCAAATTTAATGACAGGCACCAAACCATAGAATTCAGGAAGCTCAGAGAACTCCAATCATGACAAATACTGGCCTATAATTTGCCTTTTTTATAAGATCCTCATTCAGTTTGGTATTAGGGTAATACTGGCCTTATTAAACTCCCTTTAACATATTCTAAAAAAATCAGCTACTTTGCTTCAAATATTACCCCTCCTACATTTTCTCTATATTCCTTGTCTATAATTTCCTTCATGTATATATTAAATCATCTAATCCCACCTCTGGGTCTCTCAACCTTTTCAATATTTCCATACCTTTATCCCTCCATGCTGAATTATGTATAAATTTCCCATCTCTATTTTCCAGTTCTCTAATTTCCTTTTCAGCTTCATCTAATAGATGGGGTTTTTTTGTTTTGTTTTTTGAATGTATCTTTATTGATTTCAGAGAGGAAAGGAGAGGGAGAGAGGGAGTTAGAAACATCAATGATGAGAGCCATTGATTGGCTGCCTCCTGCACACCCCCTACTGGGGATCGAGCCCACAACCTGGGCATGTGCCCTGACCGGGAATCGAAAAGCGATCTCCTAGATCCTAGGCCGACGCTCAACCACTGAGCCATGCCTGGCTGGGCTAATAGATGTTTAATCCACTTACTCTTCTTTATGGTGGATCATTTCCTTAGGTAGCTTGTAATTTTCATCATGACCTCATTTTCATCTGATTATGCTATGTGGAAAGTTCATGCATCTTGTTTTTTGAAATGTCCCTATGAAATGTTTATATTTGATTCTGCCAGGTTCTCCCAAAGGTTTCATCCTCCTTGCATAAATCTGACCCCTCCTACATTTCTAAGCTTGGAATTTCTAAATCATGTATACACGAGACTAGATTTCTCAAGAAAGACTTTTCCCCTCCACCCAAAGTCCTAATCAGAAACAAGTTTTTGTTTGTTCTTTGTTCCCTTGCTTAATAGTTTTATCCAAATGTATGCATTCCTAAGCAATATACCATGTAGTTTTGCTTGATTTTGAATCTTATAAAAACAGTACATGCTGTATAGAGACTTCTGCAGCTAGCTTTTTTCCCCCACTCAGCATTATAATTCAGATTTATCCATGCCATCTGTGAGACTGTGGTACATTTCACTACACATTTATAATTCACATTAGACATTATATATCACATTATATTTATGATATTCCATATTACAGTTAATGAACATCTGGTTGTCTCCAGTAGTTTTGCTATTATGAACAGTGTTGCTATAGACATTCTTATACATGGCACCTAGTCACCAGGTGCCCATTTGCAGAGCTTCCTTAGGGTACACCCAAAGTAGCAATGCTCAGTCACAGAATATGTCGGTGTCCAATCTTACAGGATAGTGAAACTGTTTCCTGGGTACACACCTCTACTTCATTTCCCAGCTCCCCTTGCAGGTACATGTAGCCACATAGCTGAGAGGCAGTGCCATGAAAAGTGAAAACCACATCTCAGAAGATACTTATTTTATAAAGTTAAGCAAAAGTAAACATATTGTTTAGCCAAATACATTTAAAATAAAAAAATTCTTTAAAGAAGGGAATCATAAATACAAAGTTCTTGATAATATGAACATGATGGTGGGCAGGGAGAAAGGGCAGTGGGTGGATCAGCAATGAAGTGTATCATTAACCAAGAATTAGAAGTAATCCAATTCTGTAATCTAATTTAACTACAGTTAAAAAAAAAAAAAAAAAAAAAA